ACTTAAGCCCATTATAAAGAAAGCCCAAAAATAGTAAATTAACCCATTCTAGCCTAAAAATAAGTCCTAAACATTTAACCCAAACAAGCCTAATTATTTATGACAAAGTTATTTAGACATGGATTATGACCTATTTGTGAATTAGGCCCAAATCTGCCTGAAATGTCTTCTTTAGCTGTCAATGAAGAATGATTATCAATCTCCTCTACAAATCTGCCCATGAATGCTTGAATAGCTGTGATGTCTTGATCATGCTCATATCATTAGGCCATATCTCTTCTCCATTCAAAGGGGCAAGACCATGTTTGTATGTCTTAATGTAATAATCTTTCTTTAAGTAATCATCCACATAATCCAACACTTCATATCTCATGTAGTGAATGCATGAAATGGCATGACTGAAATGGACTCCAGAGAGTTGCCAAGAGTAATTCCTTTGTGAGAGGGATACCACAAAGGAATTTCCACCATCTTTGACTTGGAAGGTATCACCATCAGAAGGACTTCGCAAACATTCTGAAGTGAACATTTTGTTAATTTCTTTTTTTTTTTCCTTATTCTTCCTCCAACCCCATCTTTCCATTTCTTCTCTTGTGTCTCCTTGAAATAGTTTCTTATCATTAAGGATATCCTTATTTTTTCAAACATCATGATGAAATGCATAGTTCTTGCTTTAGCGATGTATCCATTGAAGGTCTCTACAATGTTGTTTGTAACATCATCAACTTTAGGAAAAGTGGATAAAAATGCTTTACAAAACTTGGTGTTATCCCTCTTTAAAAAATTATCAGCTACTTCTGCATTAAGCTCCTTCAATTCTGAGTTTTTTTTATCAAATTCAGCCTCCTAAGTAGAATGCACAATTGCCCAAAAACATTGCTTTCACCCTTCTCCTCTATGCATTTTCTTCTAGTTGGCATGAATGTGGACTGCACAGTTGCATAAGGAACAAGCTCTTTAATGGCATTCTCCATACCCTTGTCAAACAAAAGAGAACACAAGCTCAAACATTTTAAGAAAAATGGACATAAAATTTGAATAAACGAAACTAATATTACAAAATTTTACCTTATGTTGGTCACTCACAATGGTGATTCTAACACCATTTGTAACTCCTAGGTCCTCAAAAAGCAAATTTAGAAACCAAGTCCAACTAGCCTCCTCTCTTTCCACAACAGCTCATGCAGCTGGATCCATTTGATTGTTGGCATCTTTGCCAATTACACTAAGTAATTATCCTTCGAGCATTGTTTTTTAAAAAATAACCATCAATAAATATACATGGTTTACAACCCTCTTTGTAGCCTTTTCTCAAAGCCGAGAATCCAATGTATAACCTTCGAAACACAATTGGGCCCCTACTTCCATTCTCTTTTGCAAAATAAATGTCCCCTCCTTGTCAACTCTTCTTAGCTATGCTATGTAAGATGTAACACCCGCCGCCTGATCTCGAAAGACCCGACGGTGGATGCCACATTCGGTGCCGGAGGCACCGTCCTAACCTACATATAAACCATACAATCATATTATGAATTAGAAGTTTAAGCCAAGTAAGAAATATTTTGTTTTGAAAATATTTGGGACGAGTCCTACAGAAACTCAAAAGTTCCCTAAAAATAAAGTTTCCAAAAATATGAATACAAACACTCCAAATACCAACTCCAAACCCATCAAACTCCAATAACAACACAATAATAAATTTCTATCATTTCATATTCTCAAAACATTATAATATCTCATTTAAACATATCAACTTCTAATGTTCTAACCATTAAATAAGTCCAAGTTTATCTCCCAATATATATACACCAAAATAATTTACAATAACATGCTAAAGTGATAAATTAAATAATACAGTCTCCAAAAATGTAATACTTATACATGCCATAATTCTTAGTTATAAAAAAAATATTAAGTAACTACCAAAATATCTCTTCAACTCTGATGCTACTCTTCAGGCCTTTAAGTAGCATGCACAATCTCCAACCTGCGCGTGATAAAATCAATGCGCTAAGTATAAAACTCAGTGGTGCTCATAAAACACATCCAACCAATGTTGTGATGACAACAGACTTAAAAATCATTTATATACATAAAATCATTCAATTTGAACATGTATTACATATGTACACCAACACATCATGCTTTAAAAATTCATTTGATATCATAGGATATCATAAATGGACGTTCAATGGTAACAACAAGAAGTTATTAACATAATGTGAATCTCATTTATTTCACTTCCTTTAAAATATTTTACAAGGGCTCACATTACAAGCTCTAGGAGGAAAAAGACAGCACGATTGGAAATAGTTTTCATAGCTTATTTTCAATAATGGGCCTTAGGTCGCCAACCTTATTTCATAAAACATATAAGAGGCGCGTCCCGCACCTAACATTTTAAGAAGGATTACTTCACGTGCCTAGCATATGATCATAAGCTTCTTATCATAATGGCATCAAATGCCCTGAGCATGCTCATCATAACATTCAAGATTCAAAACAACATCAAATCATTGCATCAAATCCACACCAAGTATATTAGAGGGCCTCAAAAACATTTCTCATAAAAATTCATTGTTTCTTTAGTCTTTCTTCATAATTTAAAAACTTAATTTTACACTAAGAGTAATTCATTAAAATAATAAAAACTTAATTTAAACTTAAGTAATTCATAAAAATTCTCATACTTAAACAAAATGACTTAACATAGAAAAATTCCAGCATAAAAATGACATTGACCCTTGCTGTGTTTTTAACACATAACTTGAGTTATGGGTCTCCAAATTAAATGAAATCAGATTCATTAGAAAGCTAAGACAAAAAGCCTACAAATGTTATGAAGGGATCACAGCCCAGATCAATATGGAAAATAACAAAACAAAGCTAGGAACACAAACTAACAGACCGGACCTGATTCAGCAGAACCAAGTCTATTTTTTATTGAATTCCTACTAAACCAAATACTCAAATTAAACCAATCCAGAACGAGAGAATTCTCAAGACACAGGGAAACAACCTTTATGAAGAACTCAGAGGAAAAAACAAACTTTTTATTGAAGAACTCAGAACCTTAATCTTGTCATTATTTAATTAGTGGTCAAAATAATGGGCACCTCAAAATTCAGTTTGATGCATTTTGTGGCTCGACAACAAACAGAGTCAAGGTTGGTGTTTCAGCCATAAGTTGAGTTTATTTATATCTCCAAATTGACACAAGAGGATGGGGTTGGAAGGATATAAAGGAGGAAGGATAGAACCTACAACTTTTTATGAAGGACTCAGGGACACAAAATGGAAAAACTATAAAGAGATCAAAAAAAATGGTCCTTAAATCTCACTCAATAACCCCGTTTTTCCCAAATTCAGTTTATACTTTTTAGCCATGAAAGGATAACACATGAACAACAAAGATACAAAGGTAGAGAAATGTCTACACAACAAACATAAATACTCATCACCACATCACCCAAGAGCATGTAATTTTGCAAAAAAGCCAAAAATTTCAACAAAATCAATCATTTCCATAAATACAAAATCCCAAAATATCCACATAATAGCATAAAAGGCAACCCCAAAATCCAAAAATTTTGGGAGTAAGGTTAAGTGTTATGAAAACACCTAACCTTCAAACAAGCCTTTAAAACAAGGCTTTAATATCAAAAAGCTTTCTCAAGCTTTGGTCTTGCCCTTATTTTGTTAGGAAGCCCTCTCCACCCTCTACCATGTAAGAGAAAGAAACTCAAAAATCAAACAAAGACAACTCAAAGACTAGCGCGAAAAAACAAAAAAGATATAATTATAAAAGAGGCAGGTAAGTAATGGGGAGCCATGATTAAAGCCATGTATTATACTAAAAGAACAACTCCTAAACCCAAAAAATAATTGAGAGATTATTTCATAAAAATCACTTACTTGATCCAAGTAGGGGGAAAAAATCACCAAATTTTCCTTGCAAAAAATATTAGTCACCAAAAAATGACTTCTCTAGCTTCACTCTCTAAAAGATTTAGTACCTTAAAATCAAGTTGGGAAGGGGGTGAATTGGATGTGTTACTTAAGTTAAAAGAATTGAAAGAAAGAAAATGAAGAAGAAAGAAGAAGAAGAAAGAGAAGGGAGGGGAAGGAGGACGTGTAGAAAAAGGAGAAGAAGCGACAAACTTGTTGCTCAATTAAATTTGCCTTCATAGTTTGCTTTTATCTTAGATAAAGGCACAACTAAGGGTTATTTTTGGTTCCTTTCTTCTTTAAATTGGAGGTCTTGTTTTGGTCTTCTCCAAAAGTATTCTCCAATAGTAAATTCCTCAAAATTATTAATTTTTATCTCCACAAAAACTCTCTGCAGATTTTCCCTCCATAAAAAATAATTGCTCAAATCTTTCCTTACTTTCAATTAATAACACCCAATAATTTCACTATTCACTAATTAATCTAAATTCTCCAAAATGTTCCCCTTACTTTTACTTCTACCATTAAAAATCATGCAATGACCATCCCTCCTCAAGAAAATGTTAAAATAAAATATGAAACAACGATAAATAGTAAATTTCCGCGACAAAAAATAATACCAACTTCCAGACCGGTGGGTACTAATCACAGGACCGGTTAAACTACTATTGAAACACAGGAAAAAATGGGGGCGAATTTTTCCGGACCAAAAATAATACCAACTTCCAGACCGGTGGTACTATTCACAGACCGGTAAACTACTATTGAAACACAGGAAAAATGGGGCTTTACATAAGACCTCAATTTCCCGTAGTGTGCCTCTAGAGACCCTGTTACCTTTGTCATAGCTTTAGCCCTCGCTCTATAACACAGTTGCCTATTAACTGTAACAACATACTTTTCATTCATGTCCGCTATCATCTTATCCATACCATAAGAAGGATCTTTTCTTATTTTTCTTAAGAATTCTCTCGCAAGAAACTCAGAATTTTCTTGTCGGTTTGTCAGTGACCTAGAACACTTGTGTTCTTCTTGATATGTCTTGATTACCCATGACTTGTCCTTTCCTTGGGTTCTTGCATATAGTCTCCAAGGATAAGATCCAAAGCATCTATAATCAACCTTATGTCTTGGTTCTTAATAGGAAGTTGCTCACGAATGGGGAGCGTTACAGGCTCCACCTTAGTATTGATCCTTATTGTGCCATTTGTGCAGGTCTGGTGGAGGACGAGTTACATGTCCTACGTGATTGTTTCTCCGTGAAGTAGCTGTGGGTTAACCTTCAAGTTCTTGTTTCTGACCATTTCTTCAATGTGGTTGCTTCCCTCGAGGATTGGTTTACACAAATCTTTCTCGTAATGTTTTGCATGTCTCAGGGGTCCTTTGGAGCACAGTCTTTGTTGTCTGTTGCTGGAAGATTTGGGCAAGGAGAAATAAGTGGATTTCTGGCGATGAGCGCATTTCCATTTATGGGACATTACAAGATATTATGTCATTGGCTTCTACTATTCATGAGCCAAATTGTATATGTCTGAGTATGGCGATCCCGCAGCATATTTAGGATTGGTCAATGATTTTCTGGCAGCCACCTGTTCTTCCCTTTTGTAAGTTGAATATTGATGCTTTGTTCATTGGTCAGAGAGCTTATGGAGGTGGTCTGCTCCGAACCATGAAGGTAAATGGCTCGCAAGTTTTTGTTTCTAATTTTGGTTCGTGCTCGGTCCTCAACGCTGAGCTGTGGGGGATGCTAGAGGGCTTGTATCTAGCTAAGGGCCAGGGTGTATCTCATCTTCTTATTGAGTGCGATAACACAGTCGCAGTCCAGTTAAAGAGGCTTGTATTCTTAAGCTAAGGGCCAGGGTGTATCTCATCTCTTTCTTAATTGAGTGCGATAACACAGTCCGCAAGGTCCAGTTAGTTCAGGGCCAAACTCAGTCCTCTGGTCATGTTTGTTCAAAACTGGTTTGCTTGGCAAATTCAAAACATTTCTCAAACAAAGTGATCAGGTAATGTCGCCGTTTGTTCATGTTTTACAGGGAAAATGCCAAATGGGTGCAGACTAGTTGTCAAAGTTTGGGCAGAAGTTTTCCTTTTTGGATCTCAATTTTTCTGGCAAGATCCTCCCAATTGACCCATTCTGGTCAAATGGGATTTTACAGGGAAGCCAACTGGTGTGCAGACTAGTTGTCAAAGTTTGCAGGAAGTTTTCCTTTTGGATCTCATTTTCTGCAAGATCCTCCCAATGGACCATGTCAATGGATTATGCATGATTCTATAGAGGTAGCCTATCCTAGGCTTTGTATCTCTACTTAGAACTGTAGCTCTCCTTTTCTTTTTTTTTTTTTTAGAAAAAAACAAACTGTAACAAATCAAAATATATATAATAGTCAAGAAAAGGAGAGAATTCAATTATAATAATTAATAAAAATTATATATTACATAATCTTCATTTCCGCCTAAAAAATAATATATGTCTTGACTTGAGAGGTTATGTATTCCATGGTTCCGTAGAAGAAATCTTTTTTCTTTAGGCTCAAAAGAGTCTAAAAAAACATATCTAAATTCATTAAACAATCTATTTATATTAGTCAAAATGAAATAAACTCATTGTGGAATTAGTATAAATAATTAATTACGATTCGGGTTTATTTCTTATATAAGTAGGAATACCTTCTTTAATTATTTTTACCAAGTTTTTATTTTTTTATTTTTTATGCTTTAATTTTTCAAATAATAAAATTAAAATATTTAACAATATTTTTATCATCTTTAAATTCAATAGAGTATCTTAGTCACCCAACGTTCCCTTTCCTATTCCTACTTTTATATATTATTATTATTATTATTATAGAGTAAAATTCCTAATTTAAATATAAATAGAAACTCTTTTAATTAATATAATAAGAATATCTTTTATTCTTAAGTGAAATAATTTTACCTTAAAAAATCAATCTAGAGTCTTGTTATAAAATAATTTGTTTAATTTTCAATTAATGTTGTAATTTTTTAATTGAGAAGTTTTATTAATAATTAAAAGTCTTTTGAATTAAAATTAAAAAAATTCAAATTGAAATAAACAGTTTATACAAATTAAATTAGCAATAAATTTATTATCAAAATAAACCAATCATTATTAGTTTTGGCTTATTTTTTCTTAAAACCCATCATTATTAGTTGCTATTATTTCCTAATTTGAGATCCAAATAAGTGTACGAATTATTAGTTTTTATTTTGACTATTTAATTTTAATTTTATTAGTGAAGAATATGATTGGATTCACCCAAATCAATTATAAACTATTTTAATTATCAATTATCAAAAACTAATAATATCTTTAAGGAATGTATTTTCATCTAAGTTATTAGTTTATTCAATTAAAGAATATATTTTTTTATTTTTTTAACCAATAAAATCAAAATCCTTAAATATATTATATTCTTCATATCATAATATATACCTTACATATTATATAATATAATTTCTTATTTTATCAGGTAGAATTTAAATTTAAGTAGGAAATTAATATGGCCAATCAAAAATTAGAATGTCTTTATTTTTCAACCAATCAAATTAAAAGTTTTAATAACATTTTTGTCAATTTATAAACTTAGTAGGGGCGTTTGAGAAAACCAATGTTCCCTATTCGTATTCTTATATAAATACTATAGTAGATAGATTATAAATAAATGAACGAAGAACAAAAACAAACTCACAATTCTATAATTAAAGAAAAAAAAAATTATCAATTCATGCAATGAAATTATACTTAGCGCAAAAAAAGATATTGTTCAAACTCAATAATTCAAAATTGACAAAAACTTGATATAATAATTTTTTATAGTCAAAAGAAATAAATACTTGATGGTCAAAAGCAATTAAAACTAAACGTATATAAATGACAAAAAACTTGATATAATCAATTTTTTTATAGTCCAAAAAGAAATAATACTTGATGGTCAAAAGCAATTTTTAAAAACTAAGACGTATTTTATATGATGGTATTTTGATGAGAACAACTTCCTAATTAGAATGTTAGGGAATTAATTTCTAACATTTTACAAAATAATCAAAAAATAAAAATTAATTAGTTGTCATAATTTAAAATGGTACTAAACTTCTTTAAAAATACACATTCTTAATATTAGAATAGTGGAATTTCCACCACATGGTGTTTTTAAATTTATAAATAAACTAAGAGAAATACATAAAGTGGTGTTCAAAATTTTGTAACTGAAGAATGTATACTAACTAAATTATTCCTAAGGCTAAATCCATTAAAAAAATGACCCCTAAACTTTTGCAGGTAGTTTTATATCGTTATCTGAATTCTGAATATTTTTTTCTTCTTAGTATCCAAAAAAACTTTTAATCTTAGTTACAATACAAACATTTTAATTTCAAATTATACTTCAATTTAGAATTGAATAATATGTTATTTTTTGTAGGGGACCCAGTCTTAATCTTTTCCCCAACACTACGCTCATTTTTTCCACCACCCACTGGTTTATAAAGATTAAAAATAAATATTATATTTTAATTTATATTATAAATATATAAAATAAAATAAAAATATTTACAAGCTATTATTACCTTAAACTAGAAATAATTTTTTTAATTTATTTAATGCTTGACCCACAAATAAATGATTTTTCCTAAAAAGGTTAAAATGACGTCGTTACTGAATAAAAATCTATATTTATATAAATATTAAAATAAAAAATAAGCTATTCATCTTAAAATAAAATAATTTTTTATTTATTTAATCTTGACCACAAATAATGATTTCCTAAAAGTAAAATGACGTCGTACTGAATAAAATCTATTTTTATAAAGATTTAACCTGAGTATAAACAAAATTTCATGCTTAAAAATAGCAAAATAAAAACTTAACCTAATATTTTATGCTTAAAACTAACTAAAATTTATTATTTTACTTAGATTTTTAAGAATTTGAATTCCTAACCAATATTAATTAGGGCCTTGCTAAACAGTAGATTTTTAGTTAACCTGACTATAAGAGAGAGTATAGGTCCAACGAAAATAATATTTTATTTATTAAATTAGATACGATTTGAAATTTGAATGCCATTATAACTAAAATTGAAGTTCGGAGTACGAGGAGAAGAAAGTTGGATTTAGAGTCCAATTAAAACTACCTGCAAAGTTTATGGTATTTTTAATGATTTAGCCAATTTGTAATAGAGAGAGTTAAGATTATACTTACTGCAATAAGAAGACATGATTGTAAATTCAGTAATTCTAAATTATTGATATAATAATTATTGATAGTAAAAAGGAACAAATTATTGATAGTGAAAATGAACAAATTCTTTATAGTTAAAAGCAATTAAAACTAAACATATATAAAGTGATATGATAAGATAAATTTCTGATTAGAATGAGATTAAATTTATAATATTAATATAATAAAAATAATAAATTGATATCATAATCAGAATATCATTGGATTAAACTTTCCAATAGAGTTTAGATTTGAATAGAAAATTAATATAACCAATCAAAATTAAACCAATCAAAATAAAATTTTCAAAACCAATAAAATATAAGTCATCAATGATATTATTGACAATTTATAAACTTAGCAAGGGCATTTTAGGAACCCAATATTCTCTATTCACCCTTATATATATTATCTCTATTCACCCTTTATATATATACATTACACCACACCACCACTAGTCTTTTTATGGACGTTACATTATTACAGTTGATTTGTTTATGCTCGTTATATACTTATTTTTGTTATAAAAACTCTTTTATTATGCTCGTTATATACTTATTTTGTAAAACTCTTTTAATTTTTTTATCTATATAATATTAAAACATAAGTTTTTGTTTAGATTAAAATAAATATAATTGGTTTATTTTTATTAAATTTTATCGTATAAGCTACTTGTAATGTTATTTCTTATATACTTAATTTATTTTTATATAATGAAAGTCGTCTCAAAATAAACTTCAACCCCATCCCTAATCCTAATCATTCAGTCCCCAATTTATGAATGCAGATTCTTAAAACCTTAACAGGTGCCCCCAAAAAAAAAAAAAATCAAGGCATCTCTCATCTCTAACCTCAAATCAATATCTCTATACAAAGGTTAAAAAAAAAAAAAGATATGCAAAGATGATCTAAATTGATAATGATAATCACTTTGCTGTAGTGGCAGTATTATTTACCTAGTGCATTAGAGGAAGGAATACATGCATATATACACAAAATCTTGAAACTTCAAAAAGTGACAAAAACAGAAATATATAGTTCTAATTTTTCTTCCAATTTCATAAACACTATTTTCTTTCAAGCCAAATAGATTTAGAATTTTAAAAAAAATATTAAGAAAATTAAAAATACTTAATCATCAGGGAAGAGAGATATAAATCTCTTACTAAATTAAAGTGATAGTAGTTAAAAATTAATTCAGTAATGAAAAGTAAAATAAAAAAATAAAAAATTAATATTAAATTTAAATTCAGTAATGAAAAGTAAAAATAAAAAAATAAAAAAATTAATATTAAGAATAAAACTCTTTTCATTAACGTCAAAAGCAATTTTATTAATAAGGAAACAAATTATAATTAAAAAATTACCAATTTGAATTTTAAAAATTAACCCCTCCTTCAACTGGAAATGTTCATTTTAATTTGCTGAAAATTAATGAGCTAATGGAAGTTTAAATTCACTGAAAATTACACAAGTTGAGTAAATCGTTACAGATTAGTTAGGATCTGCTCATTACTTAGTTAATTGAGGTTTATTTCCAAAATATTTTATTTTTTTATTATTTTTAACATTATTTAAAATTTTAAAATAAAATAAAAATTAAGTTACTA